CCTTGCTCCCTCCAGAGCCGAGGTACCCCACCCTGTTCTTAACCATCCTAGGTGGGTGTGGGATCAGCCTGTTTTGTGTCTTTGCCTCTCCTACCAGTCACTATGTGGCCTCTTCTTTAAACCCTTAGTTGTAGGAATTCCATTCAGCTAGTCTTCAGTGGTTTTCAGTGATGGTTGTTTTATAATTTGATTGAAATTTTGATGGGGTCATGGGAGAAGCCAAGCACAGCATTTACCTACTCCACCATCTTGACCAGAGGTCTCTCTCAATATGCTAGATTTGTTCAGTAGTGCCCTGGAATAACCTCATATTGGCTTGTGAGAGCTGATGGTTAAATTCTGGGGAATTTTGTGAGCCATTCTTTAAACACAGCCATTATTAACAATGAAACTATATAAACTTAAAATTAAATAAGTAACGATAAAAACAAAGTTAATAAATATCATCACTCATCATCTGCTAATTATTTTACTACATTTTACTGTTGTCTATACCCTTAAGATTATTTGTCTATTATATCTACTCGGTGGAAATGCCATAGAATGGTATGCCACTATACATCTCACCCCAGATTCAATGACATCACATTGGAAGCCTGACACCAGCCCAATTGGAAATATTTGCACAACTAAAATTGGTAGAAACTACAAATCAGGGCTTTTTTCCCCGGAGACCCAGTTGTTAAGATTGACCACCACATTTACAGCCAGTTGATATGCCACATCTGAAACCACACAGCCACATTTCCCTTTAGCTTTAGAACAATGTCTGTCCTTTTTTTTTAATGGTTACATATGCCATTGTTGCATTAACATAATTATTTTTTTCAATTACACTTGATATTTAATAGTATATCAGTTTCAGGTGTACAGCATAGTGGTTAGACATTTATTTAACTTCCAAGGTTTCTCCCAAGATGATGAAGTAAGTAAATATTATGCTTGACTTCTCCCCAATAAGTCTAGTACCCACATAATACCATATATAATTAGTAAAATATTATCGAATATCTGTCCTGTAAGTTTAGCCATAGTTGAACTATGTGGCTTTCATCTCAGGGGGTGTGCTGTTTGAAAAATGTTGAGCCAGTTGGTTGAACACCATGCAAGAGACACATGGGACAAAGTCACACAGAGGAACCCAGAGTCATGTCTCCCATCTACATCTTCATGGCATAGATTCTTTGTAGAGAGTGGATGAAGTAAATTTTTATTTCTCACTCTCTTTTATTTCCTGTCCAGGATAAGGAAACCAAAGGCTTAATGCATAAATAATGTACCCTTTCCTCCCAGGAAAGACTTGCCAAGTGTCATGGCACACAGTGTGGCTTCTGCAGCCCAGGGATGGCGATGTCCATCTACACGCTGCTGAGGAACCACCCAGAGCCGACCCCCAAGCAAATAATGGAAGCTCTTGGAGGTGAGCCTTAGTAAATCACTAGGGTGGGGTGAATAGTGTTAGTCAAATTAACTGGAGGAATTGACCAAGTAACTAAAGAAGGAGGTCTCAGCCATGGAGAGAAGGTGTGGCACAGCTTTGGGCTTCCTCTTTATTACCTCTCTTTACCCAAGTCCCTTAATAGTGGTTAGACATTTATTTAACTTCCAAGGTTCCCCCCAAGATGATGAAGTAAATATTATGTTGACTTCTCCCCAATAAGTCTAGTACCCGCCTAATACCATATATAATTAGTAAAATATTATCAAATATCTGTTCTTTAAGTTTAGCCATAGTTGAACTATGTGGATTTCATCTCAGGGGCCATGCCGTTTGAAAAATGTAGAGCCAGTTGGTTGAACACCATGCAAGAGACACATGGGACAAAGTCACACAGAGGAACCCAGAGTCATGTCTCCGATCTACATCTTCATGGCATAGATTCTTTGTATAGAGTGGATGAAGTAAATTGTTATTTCTCACTCTCTTTTATTTCCTATCCAGGATAAGGAAACCAAAGGCTTAATGCATAAATAATGTACCCTTTCCTCCCAGGAAAGACTTGCCAAGTGTCATGGCACACAGTGTGGCTTCTGCAGCCCAGGGATGGCGATGTCCATCTACACGCTGCTGAGGAACCACCCAGAGCCGACCCCTGAGCAAATAATGGAAGCTCTTGGAGGTGAGCCTTCCTGGCCTTCTGCAGGCAAGACCTGAGATAGGAATTGACCAAGTAACTAGAGAAGGAGGTCTCAGCCATGGAGAGAAGTTGTGGCACAGCTTTGGGCTTCCTCTTTACTACCTCTCTTTACCCAAGTCTTTTCCAGGAAGTGCTGCCTTCAATTTGTCATTCAAGAGGCCAAGAATTGGGGCTATATTGGTTTTATCACAAAACTTTCTCCCTTAATAGAGCCCATTGTCCTTCTGCAAAGCCATTCAAATGGGCTGTTTATAACACTTTCAATGGAATCTTTTCTAAAAGTGGAAATCTGGGTAGTATGGAAGAACAAGATTTTGTTGTTTATTTTTAAATTAATCTGTTAGGATCATTCATGAATTCTATTATATTAATTATACAAAGAGAATAGGCTTTATAGTTTATAAACTATATAGAT